TAATTAATGTATTACTCTAAAAAAATTAAGCCTTTTTTACGTAAAAGTAAAAACTTCTACTCTACTATTATTAAATAGGAAACAGACTACTTCTTTATGCTAACTATTTATGTGTTCTAGCAGACTTACTGCTGTGCACCTAACTTATCTAAGAAGTCTATAACTAAGTATTCTTAGCACACCTAAGTGCTACTAAGACTTATTAGTTACTAGCCTAAAAGTACTACTAGAAGGGTATAAAGGCTACTTGTAAATAATATATATAGAATTGCCTTCTCTGTTGCAAGGCTTATCTAAAATAGACCTAAACCCTAGGCTTTATCTACCCCCTACTAATTCCTACTTAACTAATGCAGCACCTGTGCATTAACTTTAAGGAGTTTTCTAAAGACAAGTCTAGATATAATTAGATTATAGTTATAATTAATTACTTATTAAAACAAGCTATTTCTATCCCCTGCTATAAAACAATTAACACTTAAAAAATAGCTACTTTGTTTATTTAATAAGTGTACTATTTTAGCTACACACCTAAAACTATTATTTTTAATTAAGGATCTTAGTTTGTATTTAGTTTCTAGTCTAAATTTTGTTAAATTTTAGGTGTAAAAGTTAAGCTCTTTACTGCCTATTACAAGAAAATAGATAGCTAAATAGAGATTATAAATAAGTATATTAATTAAAGACTAAAGCCTTTTATATTTTTTTACTAAAATAACTAAAGTTCCTTACTGCCCCTAATTAATTAGGCTTAGATAACTTTACCTTATATAATAATTAGAATGTCTTTATATTAAGTCTTATATAGCTCTAAACTATGTTAAAGCTAGGACTAAAAACATTCTACAGAACCTATTACAGCCACAGACAAGCTAAATTATAAGGATGCCCTAGCATTAGCAACCTGCATGCATGCAGCCTAAGAGTTAGCTAAGACCTATATAGAAAAGGCCTAAGATTAGATGTAAACTATAGTTAACTATTACTGCTAGCTAGTTAACTAGAAGGTTAGTAACATAGTCTACCTAAGCATAAAAAACCTAGCTATTTAGAGACCTAGCTAAAAACTATCTAATTAATAAAAAAGTTTTTTTAAGGTACTTAAGTAAGTTAGAAACTTATACTGCCTAAAACTACTTTTAAAGTTAAAGATACATAACATTTTTACACTAAAAGTGCTTTATAAAGACCCTTAGGATCCTCTTCTAGGACAAGAACCTCTAAAACCCCCTAGCATTGCTATTAATAAGGTAGAGAAGTAGAAAGTAAAGAAAATACTTGCTAGCAAGCTTTACTAGAAAACACTTAAGTACTAAGTAAGATAAGTAGAACACAACCCTAATCTAGTTTAGTATAAAGCTTTAAATTTTATAAGTTTTTTCTATAAATTAAAAGCTTTTTATAATAAGTATCTATATTAGCTAGGACTTTTAAGAGCCTTATAGAAGTAAATTAAGGCTTTTAAAGCTAGTGTAGAAAGTATAGATTACTTAGTAGATAATAAAGTATAAAAGTAAGAAGTTAAATTATATTTTTATATAATATTATTACAACTTTATAGACATGTTGCTTAGAAGGTCTAACAGCAAGCTGTTAGACACCTCTAGACTCTCTTCTTCTTTCTCCTCTACCCTTCTTCCTCTTCTCTCTCCCCTTCTCCCTCCCCTCTAGATTCTCTCTAAACCCCCTCTACCTTATCCTTAGCCACCTAAAAGCGCTACAATGTCTGCCTAAAAGTTAGACACTAGAGCCTCTAAGGCTAAAACCTATTAGAGCAGCTTAGTATTCTAGTAGAATAAGGCCACCTAAACACTAGCTGTAAGAAGCCTAGCTTCTTAACTCTTTATAACCTACACTACTTGCGCTAGGTTCTAAGTAGACTTTAAAACAGCCTTAAAAGCCCCCTTTTTATCTTTCTTACTTCCTATGTTTTAGGCTGCTGCCTATAGCTTAAGATAGCCTTAAAGGACTAGAAATTCCTCCTTGTAATATAAGAGGACCTACGCGCGCGTTAGTAAACTATACCCTAGCTGTATTAGACTATATTTATATAAAGTTGCATTTTTTATTATGTAAGGTGTAATACTTGCATTTCTTTAATCTAAAGAACTAAAAAGAGAACTTAACTTAAAGGCTATAAGCTAGGGCGTAGGCAGCCTAAAAACAGATAACTTAAAAGGCCTCTAAAAAGGCTCTAGGAGGGGGGCAGAGCAGAATAGTAATTTTCTTTAATACTATAATTAGTTAGCAGACTAAGCCACAGAATGTTAGGTGCACAATAATACCTATAAAGTAAAGATTTAGATAATAGCTAAAAAAAAAACTAACAACATTAACTAAACTATATAAGTAAGGCAAGTAAACACTTATTACTATAAATAATAAATTTACTATATTAATAATAACTACACTGCTAGTTACTACTAAACAAAAACATTATAACAAAAGTATTATATTAGTATTAGGTTTTTAGTCTATTTCTTAGTAATAGGAAATTTTAGTTAAGATAGTTATACTTATTATATCTTATCTAAATTAGTTCTAAATTAGTTCTAAATATTTTCTACACACTGCAGATAGGGACTATTAGCCTACAAAGGGGGGGGGTAGTGTAATAATTCTACAAATTGTTCTATCTTAGGTCGCTCAGATCCTATCTGAAGGGTCCCTGTATCGGCCCCGACCATGACTCGACCCAGTCCCTTGCTGTTACCCCTATTCCCTTATGTATTTAGTCGCACCTTGCCCCTGTAGCTAGCTCAGTAGTTTTCTGATATCCTACGTACAAGGCCTATAGGTGTCATTGGTATTCCCAGGTCTCTAAGTCCCCACGCACTCCCATATGCCTCTGAGTGGATTCATACCGCATTCGGACCCATTGTCTTGCCTGCGCCGTTACACTTCTTGTATCTGCTCTAACCCTGCCCTGCCCTCTAGTGTACCTCTATTCCCCTGAGTAATTAGTCGCACCTCTCCTCTTAGCTAGCTTAGTAGTTTTCTAATATCTTTTGTACAAGGCCTATAGGTGTTAATAGCATTCCTAGGTTTCTAAGTCCCCACGCACTTCTATATGCCTCTAGGTAGATTCATACCACATTTAGACCCATTGTCTTGCCTGTACCGTCACAAAAGTACTACAAAGTAGAAAGCATCAAGAGTAGAAAAAGGTAAAGAATACTATTAATAAACAAATCTCTAAAAAGACTTAGAGGTTTTTAAGAATATATATATATATATACTAGAGTATTTAACTAGACGTTATGTACTTAAAGCTAGGCTAAAGAATTTCTAGAGATTATCTAAAGCATGTCTAAGTTAACTATAACAATTAGATAAAAACTCTATTATATGCCTATAGTTATATACTACAGTAAAAGTGTATCAAGATATTAAGCCTTTAGTATTTATATTTATCAACATTGCAAACAGTAGAGGCTAAAAAAAGTTTTCTAAAATAGCTAGCTACTTATATAAGATAGAAGCTAGATGATTTAGAATTATAATATGTTTATAGATGTAGCTTTGTAGTAAATCTTTAAGCTATTTCTATGTAGTAGTTACAAATACAAAGCTGCTAAGTAAGCATGATTTGTATAACTTTTAATATATTAGTAGTTTAGCTAGCTAAGTAGTAGACTACGTTATATTTAAATAAATATTTATATAATGCTTAATTTAAAAAAATTTAACAAAAACTAAACAATTTATGTAACTATTACAAATCTGCTGATATTTGCTCTAACATTAATTAGCAACAATATCAACTAATCCGATCGGCACATATCGATATCGAAAACCAGGCTGAATGCAGGGCCAAAATGCTTAGCTCTTTATTGTAGATATTAAATTACAACTGAGGCAGGGACAGTGTGAAGACGCAGGTCTATACTCAGTGCGAAATATAATGCAATGCTAATATTACGAGACATATCATGAATACAAGCAGGGAATGGGGCTGGGGGAGATTTAGACAGCAAAGAAGGCTTGTGCCTGTTTCTAGCGGCCCCGCTCGATCGAGCCTCCTGTTTGAGAATTATCAGGCCCTCAGCGTTGGTCCGCAACCTGTCTAGTGTCTGCTACATCCTTGACTTCTTCGTTCCCCTTCTAACTTCCTCGTATTACTCCTCCGAGACATCTCGTTAGATGCCTCCATTCTTCAGCGGCCTTTTAGGTTCCAGTTTCCGCGTTGTGGAATTTGGCGTTTTCTTCGTTTGTACTTGGTCGGAGTTGTGGGTGGCTGAGCGCTGGAAGTGAGCTTCTTTCGTGCTGCTGTCTAATGCAAATCTCGGGCGGAGTTAGTTTCTACATAAAGCTGACACAAAGGGGCATCCATTGTTTAAAGGGGGTAGCTCTTTTATCGTCTCGGGGTTGTTGACTGCGGCATTAGGCCTAACATCATATGCGGGCCGTTGCTGTCGTCACTGGGTTGCAAGTTGTCCCTGTGCTTCTCTGCGTGAAACGGATGGGTGCAAACACGTCGTCAGTGAGGCAGTGCCCACCACGCAAATATTAATGTTTGTTCGGTTGTCAATTCAAAGACAGGATCATTAATGATTACGGGGTACGGCGGGCACAGAATGGAGAGGGGCAATGCACTGACCGTCGCAATATATTGGAGTACAGTTTTTCCTCCCCAACACCTGCGTTTTGCGCACCACAGCGACCCTGTGAGGCTTAATCGCCAACTGAGAGTTGTTGCATCCAGCAGCATTTTCATCTAGTATTTCTACGATGTTTCCACTATCTACACAAGTGCATAAGAACCTTTGAATTCTTTGCTTGTGCATAGAAGATTTAGATGTATCTTTGTGCCGGACTTGTGAATCTCGCTGAGTGATTGCGCGGTCTCGCGACTCCAAATACGCCTCTTTTCTCGCTTAGAACCTAAGCGCCCACACCACTGAGAACCCAGAGGGCTGCCCAATCAAATCAACGCTTGGGTTATCTAGCTCGTATTTGTACCTCATGACCCCTCGACCCTTTCATCCAGCAATCCATCACCTCTCTCAAAACTCATGCCCGCTCCAGGCTTACACAGCTTCAGAGTATATCAAACCTCTATAAAAAGACAATACCTCCGTCTTTGATATATCAGCTTCATTGCTCGTCTATCCACATATTCCAGATACCATCACCAGTTTAGTCATGACTTTAAGCAAAGAAACGCAGGAAGAGATAACCAACCGCGTAAACGGCCACTCCAAGGCTAACAATACCAACACGGCAACACCCTATCCAAGTCCTCCAAATTCGCCGCCTCAATCGGAACCAAGTTGTTCCAAATCCCGGGGAGAAACCGAAGATAAGCGACGTCCATCTGGAACCACTACTTCCCTACCCGTTACTCCTCCAACAAGTCTTAATCAACACCCTCCAAAATCCACACTTAAAGACCAGAAACCCGTAGAGAACAGAAAACGGCTAGATGCTTCAGCCTTAAAACGTGATCTGGGTCTGCGCGCCGGGAAATGCGGAGGTCTTACGCGAGCGGACGCGCCTTGTAAGTCCTCCGTACGATCTCGGAACAAAGACCAGATCGACTCCCAAATCGACTCGATGACCACACTCACACAGTCATCTCCAGAACTAGACACCGAGCTAGATAAGCTGGTCATGCTTGTACATTGTCATTGGCATAACTGTAACAACCCAAAATGGACCCGGATTAAAGATTGGAAAGCGAAATTTCCTATCGGGGATGGCAAACCAGTTGAGTCGGTTGAAAAGCGCATCAAAAGAGCTTTAGGCCAAGTTTCTGCGAAGTGTGCCGGGACAACAGCGCAACGTGAACCTTGCCAACGGCGTATTGGGGGTCAAAAGGTTCAAAATTGTACAAAAACAATTGATGAAATCCTCCAGCCAGAAGTCTATCTAGACGACACCTATCTTGAGGCTCTTCTCAAGGTTCTCCAGGCGAATATGTACTGTCATCTCCATGTTGGTAACCGACCTCCCGAAAAGGTGGCATCATGGAAATCAGATATCCTGGAGATCCGTAAACAGGCCGATGTGGAGTTGGTGCAGTCCATTGAAAGCGACACGACAGAGGGGGTAGAAAGCCAAACTCGAGATCCAATCAGTAAAGATCCTAGAAGTCTTTCGACTAAAACTAGTAATGACCCGACCTCGCGAAATCGAAGTTTTCAAACTCGAGGAAACTCGCGGTCGTTATCTTCAGATTTCACTCGAGATCCAGCCACATTTTGGCCGGCGGCTTATGACACCACCCCCTTCGAAATTGTCTCGAGGATCGATAAACTAGCTGATTACAAGTCTTCATATAAGCTAGTCCAAAACATAATGAAGAGACCTCTGGACGACGTAGACCAGAAAGACGGTTATGTCTACATGTACGAGGTTGAAGGAAACAAAGGATTTGTCAAAATTGGATATACCGGTCGTTCCATTGAGATCCGCCATGAGGAGTGGACTTTTGATTGCAACAGGAAAACCAAACCCCTGTATCCCATCAAGCCTAACTCTGTCATGCTCGTTCCCCATGCTCGCCGCATCGAGGCTTTATGTCACGCCGAGCTAAACCATCATAACATCGAAATGTACTGTCGTGGTTGCTTAAAAAATCACCTTGAATGGTTCAAGATTTCCCCCGAGGAGGCAATTTCAGTTATTGAGAAGTGGACCAAGTGGATGAAAACTCGTCCATATCAACCCACGCAGCTGAGGTCTGGGGAGAAATGGTCCCTCACAGAAACGGAGAGGCACCGAAGTCTCAATATCGATCAGTTTATGAAGGAAATTTCAGTTTATGAAGGAAATTTCACCAGCCACTAAATCAGGGGTGGCTTCAGCGTCCATTCTTGAAGGAGCGGAGACTGTGCTTCGCAATGTTTCAGTATCTAACACGTGAACATGGAGGCTTCTTATATCGACAATACGTAGTTAACGGCCGTAAATATCTAGTCAAGATATTAACTTTGAGTTTTTCATGTCGGGCTACCCATTCAAGCATACCACCCGATGGTGATTACTGTCATACCGCAATGAAGAGCTCACCCGCCAGTTCTGGGGCAGAGGAGATTTCCCACGCTCTTTCAAGCGCTTACAAGTTGCGCCACGGAATATTGCTCGGGAGCTGAGCCTAGGCAACGCCCGGGGTCGAAACCTTGCCACCTAAATAAGAGAAACATTACACATTTGTCTGTCACAATGCACCGGGATTGTTTGAACGGGGGGAAAGGTCAATCAATCTTTTGCATAAATAGGTTAACTTGGCTTGATTATTCTCTGCCTCTTGCCTCCACTACTGCTAACAGCTACCATGCTTCTACTTTTTCCTCTCCAGCATTGCTTTCTGCATCTTGTATTCTGCGCTACTCAAACAGTGTCCTTGAATTCCTCAAGGTACTACCTTGCCTAAAGATTTTCGAGCATGCTATCTTCCACCTAGGTGCTTATTGCTGAGCCCTGCAATGTCTTCTCTTCTGTGTTATAGCTGAGTAATATTCTCCACCAAAATTACCATCTCGCCCAGCGTTATGCTGCTTACGCCCATATGGTTTCCTGCCCGTAGTTAGGAGATTCCTCGTGTGCAGGTAGTCAATGTAATTGTGTCAGGCATCCTTTAAACGATGATTTTGGGGCGTTATTGGATTGCTCGGAGCTGGGGTCGTCGGTTGTTCGAACCACTCTGTTAAGGGTGTTCTAGCCGTGTCCGAAGGTTCGGCCGAGGTGGCGTCCCACAATGTCGTTCGATCATACTGAAATACCCAACCCGCTACACGCCAGAGCGCCATGTCCGGTTTAAATAGATATTCACTCCCGACAACCTGCAATCGTTCACGCCACGCCGGCAGCTCGATCACGGAGATTCCATTGCGCTTCCCCCGCGCTGTTCCCAATTCGAATTTTCGGGCTCATCGAATGGTTCGAAGTCCACTACTGACGAAAGGCGTCCGTCTAAATCGTCCCCTCTCTTCGATTTGGTCGAGCCGTCTGGCCTGCAAGGAGCCATCTCACCATCCAGATCTGATACCTAAAATTCGAAGGTGAGGGCGTCATGCTGGGATTCCCTGGTTAAGTTTTTTGTGTCGGTGGTGTTCAACAATTCCCCTCTCCATCCCTAGAATTTCTTTTTCACCAACCACTGCGTTTCTAAATGCACGATGGTGTTTGCAGTCTAGGTGGGTGACGGATATACCACTCTCGTGCAGGTTTAGGATCTGCTTCGCCATGATGCCAACTCCCCTCGTGCTAGTTAGGGAAATGGTTCCAATTCTGGCTATATCCGCGATCGGGTTGGTGACCACCTTCGAAGCCTTACCAAACATGTTAGCGGAATAAACCAGTGTACCGTTCGCAGGAATTAGAAGCCTTAGAAGGTACTAAAGAATATGCTTCCCAGTACCCAAACTGAAGCTACCCATGGACTAGAACTGGACATTTGATTCATTGCACTTAGGTCTAATGGCGTTGTTTTGGACAATTTTTAACAGCCCGTATCATCTCATTAGGTGGATCACGTACCTGTGATTAACTCTAACCCCGAGGCGTCTTTGTTACCATAGTCTCAAAAGCGATTTTCACCCCATTCTTGTTCAGGTCTATAAATTCCGCCACCGATCTGGTCATATACTTAATTGCCAGAAGCTGCTAGTTTTTAACCCTCCGACACCGACAGTGACTCAACAGCTGCGCTATTCCCTAAAAAGAGTTCCTTGTATTTCGTAACTCTTGCAACCATTGTGGAGTCGGTTCGTCGCAATATGAACGGTGATTTGCCATCACAGGGTCAAAATGAATCCTAGGGATCTATCTTCTGCTCAAGTAAGTGTGGGAAGGTTCTCAATGATAGTGATTGTCAATTCTCTTTGAATATGAGCTATTGCTACAGCAGTATCAAGAGTATTCGTTAACAGAGTTGGCATATTCCTATTTAGCATTCGGAATCGAATGATTGGGCGACTACGGAGTATAGGCCCTCATAATAAGCAAACCAATTGAAGGGATATCAGGCCCACCCTACCAGGCCAGTAACCAAATTATTCCCCGCCAGAATTTTCTCCTTCCTCTCCTTCAGCTCTTCGACATCCCAGTTGGCCCATAAGAACTTGCCTTTCAAGAACTCAGCCTCCGGGCTGGCTAGCCAGACCATAAAGTGGCCTGGTAGTTCAACTGCAGGCTTATTAGCTCCGGCTATATTCGGTGGAAACACTCACGATCATCTAATGGCAGGTCTGGAATAGCAAGCAGTCCTGAATTTGTCAACATATCCGTCTTCACAACGCCAGGCTGCACGTTGTAGAACCTAAACGCAGGGTTCTCTTCCTGTAGCGTCTCAATAACCCGCGCCGTCGCGATCTTAGACCCAGCGTACGCCGAGAAGCCGGGGAGTACGGGGTTGAGGTGGCAGGCACCGGCCGATACATTCAGGAACACGGCGCTAGGCATTGCCGAGGCGAGAAAGTGTCGCGCGAGAAGGAAGACGCCTTTGACATTGACTTCAAAGGCGCGCCACCAGTCCATGAGGACGGGATCTAATTTGGTCTGCTCGGTGGAGCTGTGCCCTGCAGTGGGAGCGGCGGCGGGAATTGGCGCCACTGTTGCTAAATGCCCCGCATTCGCGACAACGACGTCGACACCGTCTGGAGCCACTTTCTTCACTTCATAAAAAGCGCGCGCAACGTCAACTTCACAGGATACATCGCCAGTAACGATCGTGATCTTAGTCGAAGGCCAGGCTGTTTCTGTGGTAGTTGCGACGGTTTGCAGGCTTGTGGCGTTTCGGCCCATGATGACGATATTCTTAGCGCCAGCCTGTGCGAAGGCGGCGACAATCCCCGTGCCGAGCCCGCGCCCGCCACCACTGATAAAGACGGTCTTGCCGGCTGCGGAGAGCTCGGGCCGTGTTGGCGAGATGGCCGGGTAGCTTTTGTGGTGGAAGGTGTTGGAGTATTCGATAAATGGAAGTGCTGGCGGCATGGCTGGTAGACTAGGTGAGCGCTTTAGATTGATGGGTGGGATGGTGGAGGTGCGAATGCATGAACGGAGTTTGTTGAGCCTAACCCTAATCCGTTATCTATGTCTGTCAGACAGAGGGCCGCCTTGATTCGGAGCGGACATAGTGACAGATGCAGCCGAGCATAGCCTCGCCGTTAGCCGGCGTTTAATCAAATGGAGGATAAAATCCGTTCGGTGGCGGGAGGTTCGCCGTTGGATCTCAGAGATAAATCGGTGATAAGAGCAAGAGCTAGCCCCACCTAGGGGCACAGAACGCTCCTTGAGAGTCACGAAACTGGCCTGACAGGGGTTTAACATCTCTTTCGCTGTAAAATTCGCAGCCGTCTGGGCGACAAATTTGCCTTACTCTATGATCCTTCTGGCTAATATCCGTGCGATGAAGGTTTTCACTTGACTGCTCTTATTCCCTAGCGAAGATTACTTTGTTGTTTGTCCTATTTATCTGTGCACGTGCCAAAGGCTTGGCAGTCCAAGCCATGCGCAGAACTTCCAGCTATTAGTAGAAATTCTCACCAACTCACTTTTTGCAAGGCACAATATAGCCCGAGCACGTCTGAAACGGTCACCTCTCTCGGCCATCATGATCAGAACTCATAGCCACGGCATGCGACAAACGGGAAAGCACGATGTAGTCCCTTCCGCTTCGGAAATTTATAGCCACATCGTAAAAGACTTTCGCCGCGTCTCATCTCGCGTCTAGAACATTCTCGCGTGAATAATCAACAGCGGCTAGAGAGAAGAATTGGAAGCTCTTGACGGTTCCTGTCCCCTATTTTCTCTGCATATAAGTCATCTCTACGATCTTATATCAAAAGCCTCTAGCCGTAGATAACTTGCAATGCTGCTGTGTCTCTTCACACTTCCACTACGATATTCCTTCACCTCCTCTATTGTTGCAAATAGAGAAGTCGTGTGAGCATGCAGTTATAGTAGAAGCTAATGAAGTGAAGTGTATTATGTAGTGTCTAAGTGCTCTGTTGCGGAGTATTTATTTACATCCATGACGGCGGGGGCAGTGAGGGCCATGGCAATGGCCGAGGGGCTATAGTGAAGGTAGTAGGAGCTATAGCAAAGGCAGTCGGGGCCGTCGGGGCCGTTGTGGCACAGGGAAGGAAGATTTTGTCGCACGTGTCTCACGCGATACCATACCCATGTACGTACTATTCACTTATTAGGGCTAGCTCCTTTCGAGCTCCTTAGACCTTACAATACACTCGTACAATCCACTTTGTTTGGATCTCACTACCTTGTCCACTCGCTTACCATATGACCCCCTCTCAGCTCATGCAAGAGATTTCCGTATCAGGAACGGGACATCTATCTCTCATACTCCTGCAGCATCCTCAACACACTCTCCATCAAGACGCATATGGGTATTATAATTATTGTGAAGAGGCTCTTCTTCACGCAGTAGGTGTTAGATTGGTCGATGATTTGACGGGTCGCTCCTCTTCGTTCACCCAATCAATTCCTTCATAGTTAGAAATTATGTATTATTCGAAATTGGACTGCGCTGTTTGGGGAACAAACCCTTCCAATATGTTGGCACAGCAAGAGCCAAATGGTATCCTAGGTCATGCGACTGGCGCTGGTATGGCGCTGGTATAACAAAAGACGGATGCGAGAACAGGCTAAAATAGCGAGAGATGGTAAAGATCGTGATGTAGATGGTGAATACGCGCAGGGGTGATACGAATATTGGGGCTATATGCTAGCACTTGCTTTGGCGGTAGACCTAGGTGTCGCAAGGTGAGCCTAGATGGAGCTGGTGAGGCTGGTGGAGGGCATATATAGAGGGGCGAGCAGATAATTAGGTATTGAGACATGACATAGGTATATTAAGGTGGGTTGTATTGTCTCTAGAGCTTGAGAGAGCTTAGAGGTAAATATATAGTAGCTGGAAGAGCGCTAGTTGTTGCGTTGCTAAAAGGTCGACCCTCTAGCCGGCGCAGCGGAAGGATATATATAGGCCGATAATTGTATGCGATACTAGCCCTAAACAGGAAAATGTGAGAGGTGAAGAACCCACATTCACCCTAACACATGGTCATGTGAACGAATGTCACATGAGACACTTGGGATTGGATCGTTTCCGCCCATGCCTAACGCTACGTATGGCAGCGATTCTTTGGCGGGCCTAGGTACTGCTGCGAACATAGCCTTCTGGCATATGCATATTTCAAGAGCTCTATAGATACAATGAACCGAAGGCGGCGAGGCCGGTGGTTGTACATGTTACAATTTTGATAGGGAAGGGGGATAGATGCGTGAATAGGCAGACAAAGGGGCGAGACAAATGTTGATTGGTCTTGTGAAGTTAGGCAAAGCAAGTAGCAGATGCAGGAATATGATTTTTCAGCGCCGGAGTTTGAGATCAAGGATGAAAGGCGAGTGGGAAAGTGAATATGGAACTGGAAGGCAATTGGTCCGACCTACGAAATCAGTTGTCCATCCACAAAAGAGATTGACATACGATTGCTGTGGCCTCATGGCAAGGTCTTTCCTCCGCACTTCTAAGCCCGGCTATTGAAAGCGACGTTAAAACGTAGGGTCTGGGTTGGCGCCTTCGTCGCTGAGCAGCTCAAATATCCCCTTGTGCCCCGCCTCGACCGCATAAGACAACGGCGTCCGCCCATTGGCATCCTTGACATTCGCAACGACACCCTTCGCTAGCAGCAGGCTCACCACTTCCTCGTGCCCCTTCTGTGCTGCCCATGACAGCGGCGTTCTTCCGTACTTATCCTTCAAGTCCGGGTCGACGCCGCCACTCGTAAGTAGCAGCTTGACCACTGCCCCATTCCCGTTCCCTGCTGCCCACGACAGCGGCGTCTGTCCATATCCAGTATCCTCAGAATCTGGGTCAACGCCGTCTGTCGCAAGCAGCAGTTTGACCACTTCCTCGTTCCCGCTCTCTGCTGCCCACGATAGCGGCGTCCGTCTGATTACAGTATCCTTGGAATCTGGGTCGACACCGTCCTTCGCAAGCAGGAGTTTGACTACTGCCTCGTGCCCCTTCTCCGCCGCCAACGATAGCGGCGTTCGTCCGCTTTTAGACTTGGAGTCCGGGTCGACACCGTCCTTCGAAAGCAGCAGCTTGACCATTGTCTCGTTCCCGTTCTCTGCTGCCCACGACAGTGGCGTCTGTCCATATCCAGCATCCTTGGAGTCCGGGTCAACGCCGTCCTTCGCAAGCAGCAGCTTAACTACCTCCTCGTTCCCGTTCTCTGTAGCCCACGACAGCGGCGTTCGTCCAATTTTAGATTTATCGTCCGGGTCGACGCCGAGCTTCGCAAGCAACAGCTTGACCACTGCCTCGTGCCCACCCTGGGCTGCCCACGACAGCGGCGTTCGCCCACTTATAGTATCTCTCGAGTCTGCGTCGATACCGTCCTTCGCAAGCAGCAGTCTCACCACCGCCTCGTGCCCTTTCTCTGCTGCCCACAGCAGCGGTGTCCGTCCAAATATACTATCCCTAGAGCCTGTGTCGACACCGTCCTTCGCAAGCAGCAGCCTAACCACGGCCTCGTACCCCTTCTCTGCCGCCCAAGAGAGAGGCGTTCGTCCACTGTTACACTTGGAATCCGGGTCGACGCTGTTCTTCGCAAGCAGCAGCTTGACCACCGCTTCGTGACCCTTCTCTGCTGCTAGGGATAGCGGCGTTTGTTCACATATATCCTTGCATTCCGGGTCGACGCCGTCCTTTGCAAGCAGCAGCTTGACGACTGTTTCGTTCCCTTTCTCTGCTGCCCACGACAGCGGCGTCCGTCCGTGTCCAGTATCCTTGCGGTCTGGGTCGACGTCATCCTTCGCAAGCAGCAGATTAACCACTGTCTCGTTCCCGCTCTCTGCCGCCCACGATAACGGCGTCCGCCCCATTATATCCTCGGAGTCTGGGTTGACACCGTCCCTCACAAGCAGGAGCTTGACGACTGCCTCGTGCCCCTTTTCTGCAGCCCATGACAGCGGCGTTCGTTCACTTTTACACTTAGAGTCTGGGTCGACATCAGACACCCCAAGCAACAGCTTGACGACTGCCTCGTTCCCATATTCTGCAGCATACGATAATGGTGTCCGCCTATGAGCATCTTCAACACTTGGGCTATTTCCGTTGCTGAGTAACACCACCGTTGTGCCCATTAGTCCGAGTAGTGCTGTGAGATGAACTCCTGTCATTCGGTTTGGTGCTCCTTGGCTATTATTTCCGTAGTATTTTGAAGCCATCAGTGCCTGGCTACAGGCGCACACCTTAGCGTCACTTTGAAGAAAGTTCAAAACCAACTCTTCTACTTCTATCGAAGCAGCCTGAGCGTGATGACCCCAGTATCGTGAAGCGTAGTCGTAAAGCGGATTCGACGCTAATCGCGCCTTGAATTGTGTATTTGTTTGGCAAAATCCGTCTTCGAAAGCATCGAACGCTAGATAGGCAACGCATATCCTTGTGATATCAGCTTCGGCAGTTGGAAACCAAATTTTCTGTTTCCGCTCGAAGTATTCCTGTGTCGTGTAGTGGACCAAGCGGATAATGTTGCTTTCTTCATTTACTGTGACCAATCCAGCGCACACGGAAACCATCTCTTCGATCTCTGGGAGATTTTCCTCGTCAAGCTCTGAAGCACCGATTTCCACGGCAAGGGCGTGTTGAACCTCCAAAGTAGTTAAGGGCCTCTTAGCGCAAGTAATCCACGACAGAACCTGCTTGGCAAGCTTATGGAAGCCTGGTTTTTGGCTTTCCACTCTCTCCATAGCTTCCTGGTAGGCACAATCTAATGCACCCGATCCCTTTGGAAGATTTTGCAGTGCAATTCTGATGGCTTTCGGCGTCGTTTTATCAATCAATGAATCTAGATGGAGCTGCGCTAGGAGGAACCTGAATGAAGGTTAGCCAGTGCGGACGATTTAAGCAGCAAGAAGGCACACACATCCCGTCAGCTGCCTTAATAATCTCAGCTTTAATGGTGTCCGGTAACATACGGCTGCGGAAGACACATGATGATAAGCGAGATATATGGGCGTCCAAATATATCTCAAGATCTTCACCGCTCGCACGTATCTCTTGTGATGCAGCTCCTTCAAACTCTTTCTCAATTCCAGGTATGAACCGTGAAGTGGCGAAAAAATTTACCCCAGTCTCAGCTTGGAGATTAAAAATCTCTGAGAGAAACTTCCTGCGGCTTCCATCAGAGGCTTGGCATTCGTCCAGTGCGTCGACGATGATGAAAGTTCTAGAGTAGTCCATAACGGCAGAGTGCAAGGCTTTCGAGATTTCTTCAAGTGAGGGGCGGGTTCGTTTCTCCCTGTGGCATTCGTAAAGACTTTTGATATTCTCAGACGTAAAAGGCCGTTCCTGAACCAACTGCTTCAAGAGACTGGAGAGTAAGTCAATAGGCTTTTGCTCCTGTTGGCTCCGGAAATTGCAATAGAGGTAGGCAATGCTGACACTGGGATCGTTTCGAAATTCTGTCCAAAGATGCTCGACAACAATAGAGGTGATCATCGTCTTACCGGATCCCGGAATCCCTGGGCAGAAGAGCGTCTTCTTGGCATGCTTAACCCACAGCCGAAATTCCGCAGAATTTAGCAGCCATAGCCCTGTTCCTTGCTGCCGTCTGGCAATGAAGTCACTCTGTTGAGTAGCGTAGTCGGTCGATGTAAGCCAATCTACGATCATTCGACGCTCGTGATCGTCGTGGTGTCGGTTCAGCCGATCTACTCCATCTTTCGTTGCTAATGATATATTGCTGTGTTAAGTCAGCTCCAACTCTAGATTTTATACAGGAAAAATATATTTTGATACCTATTGACTCCCGTAAGAAATGCATTGAAGCCGACAATATTTAGGGCGATGCGGCTCCGAAAGTGGTCGATTTCCTGCTGGTCGAATTTGATTCTTTCCATGCCCGTCGCAGACTTCCACTGGTACTGTTAGCACAGAAATCCAGTGGCTGATATGTATTAAGCGTGGCTTCTAGCTCCCTGAGAGCGATACAGCAGCCTCGAGAGATTTCCTCCAGTCTTTTCTCCTGCTGGCTAGTGAGATCGCGCTGAGGTATGATATCTTCAACATCTCGGAGCACATTTGAAAGGAATCTCACGCTAAGGAATCAAACGGTAAGCGTCTACCTATTTCCACATCCCAGAACTACCTACTCTTCAGAGATCGCCCTAAACTGTCCCGGAGCATCAACAAACCGTTTTCGGATGTTGTTTGTTAGCTTGAGAGCAGCGATAAAGTCGCCAACACCGAAGCCGAAACTCATCGTTACCCCGGAAAGGACGCTGTTAAAGAGGAGGGTGGCTGACGCAGCCTGAAGAGGACATTGCACTTCAGTCGGATATGACAGCCCTAAGAATCCGCGGAGGCTATGGTGGGGCTGGCAGCTTGAGTTTACATCCAAATGACACGTCATGCGTGGATGCAGAGTGCCTCAGGCTTTTGGGTGGACATAAAAGCCACTGCTCGGCGCAACTGCGGACCCCGCACATCGAAGGTCTGCCTCCGCCTTCCCAAGAACCGCCACACTTGATCATTGGCCAATTCCGGTCCGTAGTATTCACGTAATGGCCATCTAAGCATTGCGGTTCTCCGTTCCTGGTCGGCTGGTAGCCGAACTCCTCTTCAGGTCTCGCCTGATCCAGCTAGTACAAAATAGCCACATGATCAGGGTACAATTCCATGCAGTGGGGATGCAGCCTGTGGCTGTGCAGAATCCCGGCAACCTTGTGCTGTGCAAAACCAACTGCATACGCCCCGGTCCCATCCATATCGCACATCAACCACACCGCATATTCCACCAACACTGCGCTCCGTTCGCTACTTGCCTCCGAAACGATAGTTCGACTAGGGACGTCCAAAAATAACACACCATCCGCTGATGCCTCCTTTCTGATCAGTCGGCGAAGCTGAGAAGCTGCGGCCGGATTTTGGACGGCAGCCTAGAAGAACTGAAACAGGGCAAGTGATGACGCCGCAAGCTGCTCGGCTATTTAGCACTCGGAAATACTAATATCGCATCGAGTCTCTCTTCATCGCCTTCTACGTCCTCACTATGGCGAATCTGGAGAGTCTACCGGAAGACGTTAAACGCCTAATTTGCGTTGAGCTGGATAAATGTCAATCAGTACGCCCACTATGGCAAGTCTCGAAGACCTGGCGCGCTGTGGCCGAGTCCTTTGTCTACCGTGGCCTTGCGTGGGCTGTCACCCTCAAAGATTCATCCATAAGCGATGATGCGAAGAGGCTGTTTGCTGATGATATTGTCAGCAAGTACTTGGAGCATGCCAGGTATGTTGTAATATACCCCAGACTCACCTGCTTATAGCTGGTTCCTATCGCTCCTCGCATGCTTAACTTGCGTGCTTGGCCTTTGAGCCTTCCACTTCTTTGCCTGTACATTTCACTAGGTTCCCTCGACGCCTTCGCTGGGCTCATCAATGTCCTTCTAGGTGTCACTGCTGTCCTCGATGAATCCGGTGCTACTCTAATGTCGCAGTGTACATGCCTTTACCCCACAGCCTTCACTTAACCGTTTTTATCGATGTACTACAACGCTGATCTTTCATTTCTAGATATTTATACATCAGCGATACCCTAAAGAGGCATTCATGCTCTACTTCCTCTAATGAATCCTGTTCAGGTGATCCCTCCACTGAAGATTCCATTGGATGCGCCCATTCCACGGGCCTCTCGATCGTTCCTCCAACTTTTCAGCTTGCCGAACCCATCTCTCCCTGCTTCAATGAAGTATTCTGCTCTGATTCCAAAGTAGATCGCTCCACAGCAGAACACACCTGGTCACCCTTCATAGCCGCCCTTACCAGATTCAAGCACCTCACAGACATCGTCCTCCAAGTCCAGTCTCGTATTCCGCCGGGTCTAATGAATACAATTGAAAGATACCATCCGAATTGCCGTCTGCATCTCAGAAATTTTAGATTCAAGAGCCTCCACGAGGAAGTCACAGACCCGGACGAGCGTGCATTAGCTATGAGTAAGAATCTCCATAGTCTGAGTATCCTGTATATGTATCGCGACTCCAACGGCGTGGACGATCACAATGGCGCTGCCGCCTTGCGCACTGTAGGACTTGCCAAGAATTTGAAGCATGTGCGAATGCTGGGGTGTAGACCCGCCAGTAGTCCTGCACTATTTAGAGCGAGGGAAAGACCTTTGGAGAAGTGGAAGGGCTTTGTGCCTGCTATCGAAGAAGAAGATGAGGGAAGGGAAGGGAAAGGGCGGGAGAAGACGAAGCTTGAGAGTTTGAGTTTTGTGTGTTACAGCAACGCACTCAACATTACAAAGCTGGAGAAGTGGGAACAGGTTGCGGATTTCTCACAACTCAAAACCCTGAGCTGCTCTACGGGTAACAAGGCATTTCTCAGTCTCGTCGCGACTGACGATAAATTCCCAAGTCTTAAAGATCTAAACATTACCCTCCAGCCGGGCAATCGCGAGAATTCTGAGGACTGGCAACTAACCGTTGAACAATTCTTTGCCTCCCTGCACCCTCTTACTTCCCTCGGTCTCTCTGGAACACTACACGGCCACCTCTTGGATATCATAGCCGAAAGACATGGAGAAACATTGCAAAAATTGACACTTAAACCATTTGAGGATGGATACGATACGCCTGGGCCGCCACTCCGTATTACAGCCCCATTCGTGGAGCTTCTCGCCTCCAAGGCACCGAACCTGACATCCCTTCATCTGACACTAAAACGCTCCATGGGTGATACTGCCGAAACCCGCTGCTATGAAGCTTTAGGCACGCTGCAGAGTCTGAATGACTTGAGGTTGAGCCTTGATTGTACGAACGACAGTGCCTGGGACTTGTCTCCAGAAGAGGACTGGGATAGCTTCGACAAGGCTACGCAGACGAGTGAGGGTACTATGCCGAAACATTACAACGGGCACTTGAAGATTGCAATGATCAACTCAGCTCTGGACGAGGACTTGGTTAGGCAGATCTGGGGTGTCATCAACGAGAATCGAACGAAAGATACCCTTCAAACCCTCAATATCTACACCTATGGTGGAAGCTCTTTCTCTAATAGCCACCCGGGTGATCTGATGGAAATTGTCCAGCACGTCTCGCGTAGCTACAGAGTCACTGCGAATCCGAACGTTGAAGGTGGAGTAGAAATTGTGGAGTTGTCAAAGAATCGACGAGAGGAAAGGGACGCGTCTCAACGTAAGAGTGAACAATCTATGATGGAGAAATGGGGGCAGCAAAGGTGAGTGAGCCCCAATACGTGTTCATATCAAGAATGACCCTTGCGCTAATGGATATAGGCACTGCGGAAGTAGCTATGTAGTTTTTCAACATATCTGGCCTTTTGAGGATCATGAGGACTGGAGGACGAAGTGGAAGAGCTGGCCACTCCAACGGGCAACGTGACTAGAGGAGGGTGAGCTGTTCAGGCGGGGTAAAAGCGAAGGAAGCTGTAGCAGGGATGGCTATATTTACGCGCATCTTGCATCTTCATTACACCTCGCTCTGGAAATATATTAAGTAGCGTTTAACTAGTCATTGTGTCCTTCCTCTACTATTCGATAGATTAGTTAAGTTGGAGTTAGACCGGGTATAGCAACAAGTTGTTACCATACCGTAGACTCTCCCTAGAGATGTGAGACGTTTCAAGCAGGAAGCACGAAGCACAGAGATGGAATGCAGTATAGGGGGTTAACGAGAGCGAACCTTAGGGTCGGAGGCAGAGGTATGGAGGCCGAGGAGCCTATATGCCCCGTGCCAAGCACAGGGTACTTAGGGGTTGGATAGCTGTAACATAACCGTGACTAGAGAGCCCTTAGCCTAACCTTAGGTACGCAACGTTCTATTATACGCTATGGTATATATATATCCTTTCTTAACCCTCTAAGTCCCCTTGAAGATTTGTTTAGAAATACTATCTACATATATCGTACTCTACTATTAAGTAGCCTACATGATTAAGTAACATAAAATCTCTTAGCATAAACACTATATTTAAAAACTATTTAATTAATTATTATTAAATACTAAAGGAATGTAATTTATAATATTTACTTTGTAAATAGTATAAGTTTAAACTTAGTAACTTTACTAGTAGTACTAGCTATAGTGTTAACTTTATAGTGTAGTAGCTACTTTTATGCTATTCTAGCCTAATTATTTTATATTTTCCTTATTATTTAATAGCTAACTTAAATTTAATTTATTTATAACATACACTATAGGTAAGTTTCACAGTTACGTTACAGCTATCTAACCCCTGAGTACCATAGACTTGGTACAGGGTATATAGACTCCCTAACCTCTGTACCTCTGCCTCTAACCTTAAGGTTTACTCTTTTTACACCCCCCTATCCTGCATCCCCTCTCTGTAAACTGTGTTTCCTGTTCGATACCTCTTACAGCAAGTTACTTACACGCTTAAGTTACTTACTTTTACTAAGACTATACTAAACTACTTTTTGAATACAAATGTATTTCTAATAACACTACTTAAGCATAGTAAAAGAATAATAAAAATTAGGTAATTATTAAGTACATACTTAAGCTAGATATATAATGTACATTACAAGCAAGTTGCTTACACACCTAAGTTGCTTACTTTTACTAAGATTCTACTAAACTACTTTTTCTACACTAATACATTTCTAAGAACACTACTTAAACGCGCTAAACAGACATTAGATATAGCTTATGCTTTAGTCTTTTAAATAAAACATAACACTTTAAAAACAACATGTTGCAGCTATGTATAAAGTCTTTTAAAAGATAATAAATAACTTATAAACTAAATAAGTTTTATACGCTAATTCTACAGCTAACTTATAAAGGGTAGGTAATAATAAAAAGTAAGTAATTATTAAGCTTATGCTTAAGCTATATGCGCAAGGATTTTCCTCTTAGCTAGTAGCTCTAGCTAAGATAGCTAATTCTTTACACGCTAAGCATAATTTAGGCTATATTAGTATAAAATAGCCTACTATGTTTATAAAGTGTTATTTAACGCTTAAAGTAAAGTTTAAGTGTAAGTATAACTATAGAAAAACTTTTTATAAAAAGTTTAAAGTAATTTAAAGCTAGTTTAGCTTTATAAACAATATTAAAGCTAAGTATAGTAACATACATTACAGGCAAGTTGCTTACACGCTTAAGTTGCTTTCTTTTGCTAAGACCCTACTAAACTACTTTTACACTAATGCATTTCTAACAACACTACTTAGACGCGCTAAAAGAACATTAGATATAGCTTACGCTTTAAGCTTTTAAATAAAATATAACACTTTTAAAATAACATGCTACAGCTATATATAAAGTTTTTTAAAAATTAATAAATAACTTATATACTAAATAACTGTTATAAGCTAATTCTACAGCTAACTTATAAAAGCTAGGTAATAATAAAAGGTAGGTAATTACTACGCACATACTTAAGCTATATGTGTAAGAATTTTAATTTTAGCTAGTAGCTATAGCTAATATAGCTAATTCTTTACACAGTAAGCATAAACTAGCCTAGTATGTTTGTAAAGTGTTATCTAAAGCTTAAAGCAAAGTTTTAGATATAAGTATAGTTAGTAAATATCTAGCTTATTATAAAGCGAATCTTATTAACGTACCTAACAGGTTGGCCGGCCACACGGGTTAGCCGGCCACTTTTGCCAAGCCCCTACTAAACTCTACCTATCTACATAATGCCTTAACAACAACACTAGATTAAATCTTCTAAAGAATGTTAAATATAGCTTGCTTTTTAGGCTCTTAAACAAGACTTAAAACTCTCCTTACAACGCGCTGCAGCTATCTATAATGTCTCTTACACAACACTAAGCAATTAACGCGCTAGACAGCCTTTACAAGCAGAATGCTAGCCTAAATTAAGGAATCTAACTAAGCTTAAAAAAAAGGTAGTTGTTAAGTACATACTTAAGCTTATTACACGCAGATTTCCCCCTAGGCTTATAGCTGTAGCTAATATAGCTAATTCCTTACCTGCAGAGCGCAATCTAGGCTAGGTTAGCTTAAACTAGACTAGTATGTAGGTTAAGCACTGCTCTAAGTTTATAATAAAGTTTAATTATAAGTATAATTATAAGAGAGCGCTTTATAAAGATCTAGAAGTTATCTAGAGCTAGTTTTGCCTAGTAGCTAACATAAAAGCTAAGTATAGTATCTAGGATAAAAATAAGTATAACTTTAACAAGTTAGGCTTTATAATAGGCTAGATATTAACTAGAGCAGTTATTACAGCTTTAAAAAGATAAGAACAGCTAAAGGTAATATAGTAAGGTAATAAGAAGTAGACAATAGTTATCTAGAGCATTAACATAATAAAGTAGGCTATAAGATTATAGAGCTTTAAGCAGTAAATAAGGCTGCTATATAACATAGATTATATAAAAGAAAGCAGATTTAGGCAAAAAAGACTTTAATAGTTAATAATAGAGCTTATCTAACTGCTCTAAAGGAGTTTAGAGCGCGTAGTAATAGAAAGAAGCTAAAAACACAAGTGCGCGCTAAAAGAGGTAAGCTAAGTTAAAGGTAATGCAGGTAGTGTAATTAAACTAGGTATAACTTATGTACATGTAAGTAAGTAGTAGAAGTAGACTCTAAATAATATCTTATGTTATATTACTTTATATAGGGCTAAAGTGGGCTGTTTTGCGAGAGAATAGAGTGGTTTTAGTAGGGGCTTAGCAAAAGTGGCCGGCCAACCCGTGTGGCCGGCCAACCTGTTAGGTACGTTAAAGTTATATATATTATTATTTTAGATGCTATACTTAGCTTTAATATTCTTTATAAGGCTAAACTAGCTTTAAATTACTTTAGAATTTTTCTTAAAAGCTTTTTTATAATTATAGTTATACTTAAACTTTACTTTAAGCTTTAGATAACACTTTATAAACATACTAGGCTAGTTTATGCTAACATAACCTAGATTATACTTAGCGTGTAAAGAATTAGCTAATTAGCTATAGCTGCTAGGTAAAGGGAAAATCCTTACAGATATAGCTTAAGTACAGGCTTAATAATTACCTACTTATTATTATTACTTAACTTTTATAAGTTAGCTATAGAATTATGTTATAAAAGTTACTTAGTGTGTAAGTTATATATTATTTTTTATAAATCTTTATATATAGCTGTAGCATGTTGTTTTAAAGGTGTTACATTTTATTTTAAAGCCTAAAGTGTAAGCTGTATCTAATATTTTTTTAGCATGTTTAAGTAGTATTATTAGAGATGCATTAGTGTAGAAAAAGTAGTTTAGTAGGGTCTTAGTAAAAGTAAGCAACTTAGGTCTGTAAGTAATTTGTCTATAGTGTATGTTAATAATTTTTTTTTTTACCTTAGTTAATTTTTATAAGTTAGCTTTATAATTTCATTATTAACGTTTATAATTTAGCTTTAAAGTAAATAGAGTTTTAAAGAACTTTATAAATTACTATAGTAATGTTAATATTTAAAAGTCTAGTTTTTAAAATTAATAAAAAAGCTAAAAGTATTAGACTTTATTTACTAGTTGTAATGTACTTTACAGGCGAGTTACTTACACATCTTAGTTACTTACTTTTACTAAGACTCTACTAAACTACTCTTTTTACACTAATGCATTTCTAACAACACTACTTAGACATGCTAAAAGAATGTTAGATATAGCTTACACTCTAAGCTTTTAAATAAAACATAAAACTTTTAAAAAAACATGCTATAGCTATATATAAAGTCCTTTAAAAGATAATAAATAACTATAGCACTAGATAACTTATAAGCTAACTCTATTGCTAACTTATAAAAGCTAGGTAATAATAAAAAGTAGGTAATTATTAAGACTATATTTAAGCTATATGCGCAAGGATTTTTCTCTTAGATAGCATTTATAGCTAATATAGCTAATTCTTTACACGCTAAGTATAATCTAGGCTATGTTAGCATAAACTAGTCTAGTATGTTTATAAAGTGTTATTTAAAGCTTAAAGTAAAGTTTTAAGTGTAAGTATAGTTAATAAATATTTAGCTTATAATAAAGCCTATTTTACTAAAGTTATACGTGTTATTATTCTAAATGCTATACTTAGCTTTAATATTTTTTATAAAGCTAAACTTACTTTAAATTACTCTAACTAAGACTTTTATAAAAAGCTTTTTTATAGTTATACTATGCTTAAATGTTACTTTAAGCTTTAAATAACGCTTTCTAAATATACTAGGCTAGTTTATGCTAATATAGCCTAGATTATGCTTAGCGCGTAAAGAATTAGCTATATTAGCTATAAATGCTATCTAAGGGGAATATCCTTACGTATATAGCTTTAGTATAGTCTTAATAATTACCTACTTCTTATTATTACCTAGCCTTTATAAGTTTACTATAAAATTAGCTTATAAAGGTTATCTAGTGCTATAGTTATTTATTGTCTTTTAAGAGACTCTGTACATAGCTGCAGCAAGTTTTTTTAAGAGTTTTATGTCTTATTTAAAAGCTTAGAGCATTAGCTATATCTAATATTCTTTTAGTGCATCTAAGTAGTGTTATTAGGAATGCATTAGTGTAAAAATAGTAGTTTAGTAGGGTCTTAGTAAAAGTAAG